CGCCGGAGGGTCCAAGGGGCCCATTCACACGGGCTCCGGGAAGCGGATCGTTCTTTGTCTCTTGATCACAGGCGTTTGCATCTTCCTCGCCCATTCGGCTGCTGCAAAACCGAGTTAATGTTAAAGGATGTATGTTAAATGTTAACGTTAAAGTGGGAATCCGTCTATGCCGCTTATAGGAGATTGCTGATGTCCACACTCGTCTTGTTAAGAAACACACGCATTTTCAAAACCGATCTGCCCACTTACCCCCGGTTTTGGTAAACCAGATCTATGAAGCATCTTCACGAAAGTGCCTGGCTGTACACTGTACATTTGAGGCCTTGTGGCCCTTCACAGTCTAGACCTCACGTAGCCCTACAGGGGTTTTTAAAGCTTTGTTTCCCATATATATGACTTGAAACTAGAGCTACTTACTGCCTAAACGCGTTCTGCAGCAGGGAAATGAGAGGAATAACTACAAGAATAATAATTAATACTGTATCTTCTGTATTAGTGTACTTATACTGTTGGTACCAGAGCATTCATTTAGAAGGGAAAGAAATCCAAAAGACTGTCCTCTTGAAAGTTTCTACAGTCTAAAAACTAGAATTTAAATCCTCACACAACATCGAGATGATATACATGTACCTATGGGGGTTCAATAGACCCTTCCCCAATTTTTGCTACAATCCTCAGTGGTTCCAATATGCAGATGACAATTTCATTATGTGGAAGAATCACAGACACAAGGGGGAGTAGTAAATGCATGAACGTATTACCGACTCAATTTTGGAAAAGTTAAACTCGACGAACTCCAGCTCCACGGGTATCTTAGCCTGCATCTTTCTCTTAAGGAGAACAGACACAGGGAAAACTGTAGTTATGTTGAAAACCATTCCTGTTGCTCTGGTGCCACCAGGCTGGTCACCAAGGCCACAGCTATCTCCATGGGGTGTAAAAAAGAGCCCCAGGAAAGTCTAGAAGCTGGTGGCCTTCAGCTAGATGACTAAAAACGTAGCGAGGACCCCACTAAAGCCGGAAGGAAATCGGAAGCGAGCAGGGCAGCACCGAAACAGAGAAACGACTTTAAGGCAACACTGTGCCCTGCTAGAACAGCAGCAGCTCTTCTAACAGCCGCTTGCCTTCTCTCAAAGCGAGGTGGGAGGTCGAAACTCCCTGTACCTCATGGAGAAGGGGCGGGGATCCAGTCAGCAGCACCAGAAAAACAAAATGAAAAGTGATAGCGCTCTTCCCCGTGTAACGCAGCGGCCATCATCGTAGTGGCACATCACATCAGGCAGCTCACTGAGAATGCTGGTAACCCTGCCCGGCCCCAAATCCTTCCCTTGTGATCTGCAGTTAAATCCACCAAGGAAAGCCAGGGGGGCTCTCTTAACATGAAAGCGTCTAAACGCAGCGAAAAACGAAAATGTCAAGGGCCTCCCCCAGGCAGGGAAAGTCCCTCCTGTTGCGAAAGAATTGCGTCAGGGTCTCTGCCAAGACAGAGTGACTTCTGCAGGATTTTAGTGTTTCGTGTGTGTGCGCGCTTTACACCTCCCAGCCCCTGCCGCCGCCCTTCTCCCCGCGTTTGAAAAAACTCCATGTTGCGCGGAGTTGCAACGGCGACCGGCTGCTCTTTGATACTCTCCAACAGAATAGAAATAACGTAGAAAAGACTTCGATGTCTACCGCCCTCTAATGAGCACTGCACAGAGCAATTACATCAGTCGGAGTTCGCTTGCTAGAAGGCACAACGCTTACACCAATATAATACAAAAATGTGGTTCGCAGCTACTACCACGTTAAAAAGTCCTGACTCAAGGCATAAAAATATTTTATTACAAATAAGAACTAAATCTAAAAAAAAAAATCAACAAGCAACTAAATTAAATCCCTCGAAGAATAAGCCAAATTTTATAAAAAACCTAACACATAATTATCAGTAAAACAATCTCCGTAAAAAATGTTAAACAGGCAAGAATGGAGATCAGCATACTTAAGACAATGACTTTTAAGAAAAAATGTTTTACATGTTTCCGCCTGCGTTCACTAGAATTGAAACAGCAGAGTAATTCAACCTTTTGTGATTTTGTGGGCGGCTCTGAAAAGAGCCTTGTTTTCCTGATTAGTTTTAGATGCGTTCACTTGGCTTTAGCCTTGTGGCTGTC